AAATAAAATTTGCTCAATAACTTTTCTGGCTGCGATAAATCCCATTTGCATGCTTGTTTGTTTCCCCCGTCTCTCTCGGGTCAGAGAGCCGCAAAGTGGTCACGGGAACATTAGCGGTCTAGCAAGCAGACGGAAATTACTCAAAAATACAAAATACAGCCAAAACAGGACCTAAACCAGGACTTAACCAGGATTGACAATGGGGGACACAGTAGTTGTGAACATATGCCGGCAGCTGAGTTCTCATTCAGGCTTGATTAGTGACTATACTAGCGCAGCTAGCGTTAGCGTGTTCGCCGATGCAGAAGTACCGTACCATACCAATAAAATAAACTTATGGCGCACCTCCGTGAACACATACTGCTGTTATATAAAGTCTCTAGAAGGTCTCTGAACACAGAGATGCTGCAGACTTGCATTCTTGGAGTAGAACTTTACACAAAAAAACCCGCTAGCTTAGCTGTTAGCATCAAAGCCCGCCCCGCTACTTCCGGTGGGCGCTACCGCAGCAGGACTTCTGTACGCCCCATTGGTGAACCCACATGTCAGTCACTTGTCATTCGCCTGGTGGTGTGTGGGGAGGTGGGACTACTCCTGAGAGATCCTGTCTTAAGCCACACAAAGTCAACATGTTGGTATTTCTTTCTTGTAATCTGTCATAAAGTCTGAGAAATTATTGACATTTGAGGCATCTGTTTCATATTTTCTTTACAAAGGTCCTGGCAGTTTTATTCCTGGTCATTTTTTGTTAAGAGACTGAGTCTATGTTATTTATTGTTTTTGGTTGTTTGTTAATTTATTGTGTTCTAGCGTTAAATATTCGTTAAAAATAAAAGTTTATTCTCTTTGAAAAGGTGTACCTGCATTATCATTCTAATCGATGCAAATGATCTCAGAACGACAATATAATCGCTTATCGCAATAATTTCTGAGACAATTAATCGTCCAGCAAAATTTGTTATCGTGACAGGCCTAGGGACAAGTCTCTCATTGTTGTTGTGCCTACGGGCCTAACAGCAGTGCAGAGTACCCGGCCTTCTTGGAGTCCTTGGGAGGGGTACTGGACAGTGCACCGCCCGGGGACTCCGTTATTCTCCTGGGGGACTTCAACGCCCATGTGGGAGGCGCCAGTGACACTTGGAGAGGGGTGATCGGGAAGAACGGCCCCCCTGATCTGAACCCGAGCGGTGTTCAGTTGTTGGACTTCTGTGCCAGTCACAGTCTGTCCATCACGAACACCATGTTCGAGCACAAGGGTGTCCACCAGTGCACGTGGCACCAGGACACCCTAGGCCGGAGGTCGATGATCGACTTTGTTGTCGTATCATCTGACCTTCGGCCGCGTGTCTCGGACACTCGGGTGAAGAGAGGGGCGGAGCTGTCAACCGATCATCACCTGGTCGTGAGTTGGATCCGCTGGCAGGGGAAGAAGCCGGTCAGACCTGGCAGGCCCAAGCGTGTAGTGAGGGTTTGCTGGGAACGTCTCGCTGAGACCCCTGTCAGATGGACTTTCAACTCACACCTCCGGGAGAGCTTCTCCCAGGTCCCGGCGGAGGAGGGGGATATTGAGTCTGAGTGGACCATGTTCTCTTCCTCTATCGCCGATGCGGCGGCTCGTAGCTGTGGTCGCAAGGTCTCTGGTGCTGGTCCCGGCGGTAACCCCCGAACCCGGTGGTGGACACCGGCAGTAAGGGATGCTGTCAGGCTGAAGAAGGAGTCCTATCGAGCCATGATGGTTCGTGGGACTCCTGAGGCAGCTGTCCAGTACCGGCAGGCCAAGCGTGCCGCGGCCCGGGCTGTTGCAGAGGAAAAAACCCGGGACTGGGAGGAGTTCGGAGAGTCCATGGAGCATGACTATCGGTCGGCCTCGAAGAGGTTCTGGCAAACCGTCCGGCGCCTCAGGAGGGGGAAGCAGTTCTTTGCCAACACCGTGTATGGTGCGGGTGGAGAGCTGCTGACCTCGACTGGGGATATTGTCGGGCGGTGGAAGGAATACTTCAAGGTTCTCCTCAATCCCCCCGTCACGTCCTCCGTTCAGGAGGCAGAGGCTGAGGATGTTGGGGCGGATACTTCCATCTCCCTGGCAGAGGTCACCAAGGTGGTTGGCAGCCTCCATGGTGGCTCCGCAGAGTGGCTGGGCGCTCCCTTAGAGATAGGGTGAGGAGCTCAGTCACACGGGAGGAGCTCGGAGTAGAACCGCTGCTTCTCCACGTCGAGAGGAACCAGTTGAGGTGGCTCGGGCATCTGTTCCGGATGCCTCCTGGACGCCTCCCTGGGGAGGTGTTCCGGGCATGTCCCACCGGGAGGAGGCCCCGGGGAAGACCCAGGACACGCTGGAGGGACTATGTCTCTCAGCTGGCCTGGGAACGCCTTGGGGTCCCCCCGGACGAGCTGGAGGAGGTGTGTGTGGATAGGGAAGCCTGGGCGTCTCTGCTTAGACTGCTGCCCCCGCGACCCGGCAACGGATGAAGCGGAGGAAAACGGACGGACGGACGGACGGAGTTCATAAAAATGCTTATTCCTACATACAAGTTGTATTATAATCCGTAATTGAATGTAAAACATGATCTCATTGATTCAGCTGTGTATGAATTAAAAAGTGCTGAGTAGAGACTTAGCGTGACGCCCGCTCTCCTCCAATCACAGAACAGGCTGCGTCCTCTAGCCTCTACAGCGCTGCTAAACACAGTAGCATGTTAGCATAAGTGGCTATAACTCCTCTGGCTGGCGGGAGAATCTGGTTGTGTGTCTGTAGGAGAAAACGGTTGTGTGTCTGCGGGACAATCAACCGCTCGGTGTGTGTCTGAATGCTTCTGTATTGATTGTCTACAAGGACGTTTTGCTTTGTTTTGGGCTCGCAGCGGAGAATGAATAGATATTTGATGGAGCATTAGTGTCGGGACGTCCCAAGCAGACTGTTGACATCGCTGGGGGGAGGCGGAGGTGGTGGGGAAGGGGCTGGCGACGTCTACACTTTTGAGTTTGACTCTTGGGTCTTCGCTGAAAGCTGTTCCCATAAAACACCAGGATTCCAGTCTCTTGTGTCTCGGTTTTGAGATATTCGTGCTTTTCTGATGTGGCTCGGGCTGTGGGGACGGAATGACATCGGGATCAATACTGGACGAGTCTTAATTGACAAACTCTGGAGGAAGAACTGTGATTATTGAATCATTCGTGCTCATGGAATAAATATCAATTAAGTAAGTAATGTTTATTTATATAGCGCCTTTCACAGACCAGAGTCTCAAAGCGGTTTACAATTGTTATTTTTGGGCATTTGTCTCTCGCTCCACACAGAGAAGGGAGCGGGGTTAAAGGATTATAGATTTATAGATTTATAGATTTTGAGGGTGCGATCCAATCGTCCTCTTCTAGTTGTGGTCAATCACCTTCTTTGCTGATATTGAAGAGAAATTCTGGAGAAAACTCACTGTCTCAACATCTCTGGGATCGTTCAGCAGCTACGGACTAAAAAGAATCAATGAAATATAAATGCATCTAGACTTAAAATCCTTTATTTTTTACTGAATCGTTTAGAATTTCAATTAAATTATTTTTTGTATAGCCCTAAATCACAACAGCCGTCGTCTGGAAGGACTTAACTAAAGCCTGCTTCACATAAGACGATTTTTAAATTGAGGATTTTCCAAACCTGAGAGACCCCACACGAGTATAGTAGCGACAGTAGCTCGGTTGGTAGAGCATCAGCCTTTGGGCCAGAGGGTCGTAGGTTCAAATCCACCGTAAGACCTACTTCACGATTCCCACTGATGTCTCCTGTTGTTTTGTCCTTGGGCAAGACACTTAACCCCACTTTGCCTGAAGCCCCCGCTGGAAGCTCTCAGCACCTGCAGGAGGATCAGTGAGGGGCTGGTGCTCTGACTGCCACCCCCCCGACCCAGAAATGGATTAAGGGGAAGAAAATGGATGGATGGATGGAGAGACCCCACACACGGAGATAAAAAATCAAGGGTCTAACCACTTTGGTCGTACAGTGTGTGGTGCTGCCACACGGCAAAAGCACACATGACACACTCATCACACATGAACCCCCCTGAGCATTCCCAGGTCACACATGAACCCCCTGAGCATTCCCAGGTCAGACATGAACCCCCCTGAGCATTCCCAGGTCACACATGAACCCCCCTGAGCATTCCCAGGTCACACATGAACCCCCCTGAGCATTCCCAGGTCAGACATGAACCCCCCTGAGCATTCCCAGGTCACACATGAACCCCCTGAGCATTCCCAGGTCACACATGAACCCCCCTGAGCATTCCCAGGTCAGACATGAACCCCCCTGAGCATTCCCAGGTCAGACATGAACCCCCCTGAGCATTCCCAGGTCACACATGAACCCCCCTGAGCATTCCCAGGTCACACATGAACCCCCCTGAGCATTCCCAGGTCACACATGAACCCCCCTGAGCATTCCCAGGTCACACATGAACCCCCCTGAGCATTCCCAGGTCACACATGAACCCCCCTGAGCATTCCCAGGTCACACATGAACCCCCCTGAGCATTCCCAGGTCACACATGAACCCCCCTGAGCATTCCCAGGTCACACATGAACCCCCCTGAGCATTCCCAGGTCACACATGAACCCCCTGAGCATTCCCAGGTCACACATGAACCCCCCTGAGCATTCCCAGGTCACACATGAACCCCCTGAGCATTCCCAGGTCACACATGAACCCCCCTGAGCATTCCCAGGTCACACATGAACCCCCCTGAGCATTCCCAGGTCACACATGAACCCCCCTGAGCATTCCCAGGTCAGACATGAACCCCCCTGAGCATTCCCAGGTCAGACATGAACCCCCCTGAGCATTCCCAGGTCACACATGAACCCCCCTGAGCATTCCCAGGTCAGATATGAACCCCCCTGAGCATTCCCAGGTCAGACATGAACCCCCTGAGCATTCCCAGGTCACACATGAACCCCCCTGAGCATTCCCAGGTCACACATGAACCCCCCTGAGCATTCCCAGGTCAGACATGAACCCCCTGAGCATTCCCAGGTCACACATGAACCCCCCTGAGCATTCCCAGGTCAGACATGAACCCCCCTGAGCATTCCCAGGTCACACATGAACCCCCTGAGCATTCCCAGGTCAGACATGAACCCCCTGAGCATTCCCAGGTCACACATGAACCCCCCTGAGCATTCCCAGGTCACACATGAACCCCCCTGAGCATTCCCAGGTCACACATGAACCCCCCTGAGCATTCCCAGGTCACACATGAACCCCCCTGAGCATTCCCAGGTCACACATGAACCCCCTGAGCATTCCCAGGTCACACATGAACCCCCCTGAGCATTCCCAGGTCAGACATGAACCCCCCTGAGCATTCCCAGGTCACACATGAACCCCCCTGAGCATTCCCAGGTCACACATGAACCCCCCTGAGCATTCCCAGGTCACACATGAACCCCCCTGAGCATTCCCAGGTCACACATGAACCCCCCTGAGCATTCCCAGGTCACACATGAACCCCCCTGAGCATTCCCAGGTCACACATGAACCCCCTGAGCATTCCCAGGTCACACATGAACCCCCCTGAGCATTCCCAGGTCACACATGAACCCCCTGAGCATTCCCAGGTCACACATGAACCCCCCTGAGCATTCCCAGGTCACACATGAACCCCCCTGAGCATTCCCAGGTCACACATGAACCCCCCTGAGCATTCCCAGGTCAGACATGAACCCCCCTGAGCATTCCCAGGTCAGACATGAACCCCCCTGAGCATTCCCAGGTCACACATGAACCCCCCTGAGCATTCCCAGGTCAGATATGAACCCCCCTGAGCATTCCCAGGTCAGACATGAACCCCCTGAGCATTCCCAGGTCACACATGAACCCCCCTGAGCATTCCCAGGTCACACATGAACCCCCCTGAGCATTCCCAGGTCAGACATGAACCCCCTGAGCATTCCCAGGTCAGACATGAACCCCCTGAGCATTCCCAGGTCAGACATGAACCCCCCTGAGCATTCCCAGGTCACACATGAACCCCCTGAGCATTCCCAGGTCACACATGAACCCCCTGAGCATTCCCAGGTCACACATGAACCCCCTGAGCATTCCCAGGTCAGACATGAACCCCCTGAGCATTCCCAGGTCACACATGAACCCCCCTGAGCATTCCCAGGTCAGACATGAACCCCCCTGAGCATTCCCAGGTCACACATGAACCCCCCTGAGCATTCCCAGGTCACACATGAACCCCCCTGAGCATTCCCAGGTCACACACACTGCAAAAGATGACAGAATTAAAGACAAAAAAATGCTCAAATTTGGCTAAATGTATCTAAATATGAGCACATTTTGACTGCCTTAAAACAAGATTTGCCAGTGGAACAAGAAAAATGGTCTTGTTTTAAAAAGATACAAGATATTTTTTCTCTTGGAATGAGAAAATAAAGCAATAGTTCTTGAATCAAGTCAAAATTGCTTGTCTCGTTGGCAAATCTCATTTTAAGAAAGTCAGAATGAACTTAAGTCAAGTTAAAAAAAACTAGATTCTAGCAATTATCATCTCATATTTGATCATTTTTTGCAGTGCATGAACCCCCCTGAGCATTCCCAGGTCACACATGAACCCCCCTGAGCATTCCCAGGTCACACATGAACCCCCTGAGCATTCCCAGGTCACACATGAACCCCCTGAGCATTCCCAGGTCAGACCAAGACGAAGCGTGACTTCAGAGTAAACCATCATGGCGGACGAAGAGTACGCAGTGGCGATAGTTTGTGTTGCCGTTGGTCAACAGTTGCTCCTCCATCTCCGACGTCCACCGGACTTTCTGTTGCTGACTGTTATGATTCTTTTCTGGTGTTTCCTCGGCGCCTCGTCACCTCGTCTTCTGATTGGCTACAGCCGCAGTCACCGACAGCTCGTCTGTCCCGGAGGACGCCACACACAAAGAGAAATCAGGCCAAAACAATCCACCATGTTGGATATCCCTGAGATCAGAGCAGTCCCAAAGTCGTTCTGAGCGATTGTCTTAAATCGGCCTCATTATCCTGCCGTGTGAACCAGGCTTCAGTTGTCAGTGGAGATGGGGTTAGAGCTTGTGCAAGAATGTCCGATTCTATCTTTCTGTGTGGAGTTTGCATGTTCTCCCTATGTCTTTGTAGGTTTCCTCTGGGTGCTCCGGTTTGTAAATATATGTGTGAGTGAATGAAAGAATGTCTACGGTTGGAGTTTGTGGAGTGAATGACCTGAGGACCAAATTGTGAGATCCTTTTGGTGATCTTTTCCAAACCAATCTATGGCATACAATATAAAAACACAAACATTAACATAACTTATTCCAAGCAATAATCCAACATATAATAATTATAAGTAGCAGATCACCTCACCCCACACACACTTACACATACGCACATACATACACATACATACAGTGGGGCAAAAAAGTATTTAGTCAGCCACCGATTGTGCAAGTTCTCCCACTTAAAATAATGACAGAGGTCTGTAATGTTCATCATAGGTTCACTTCAACTGTGAGAGACAGAATGTGAAAACAAAATACAGGAATTCACATTGTAGGATTTTTAAAGAATTAGTTTGTAAATGATGGTGGAAAATAAGTATTTGGTCAGTTCAAACAAGGAAGATCTGTGGCTCTCACAGACCTGTAACTTCTTCTTTAAGAAGCTCTTCTGTCCTCCACTCGTTACCTGTATTAATGGAACCTGTTTGAACTCATCTGTATAAAAGACACCTGTTCACAGCCTCAAACAGTCAGACTCCAAACTCCACTATGGCCAAGACCAAAGAGCTGTCCAAGGACACCAGGAAAAGAATTGTAGACCTGCACCAGACTGGGAAGAGTGAATCTACAATAGGCAAGCAGCTTGGTGTGAACAAATCAACTGTGGGAGCAATTATCAGAAAATGGAAGACATACAAGACCACTGATAATCTCCCTCGATCTGGGGCTCCACGCAAGATCTCATCCCGTGGGGTCAAAATGATCATGAGAACGGTGATCAAAAATCCCAGAACCACACGGGGGACCTGGTGAATGACCTGCAGAGAGCTGGGACCAAAGTAACAAAGGTTACCATCAGTAACACACTACGACGACAGGGAATCAAATCCTGCAGTGCCAGACGTGTCCCCCTGCTGAAGCCAGTGCATGTCCAGGCCCGTCTGAAGTTTGCCAGAGAGCACATGGATGATACAGCAGAGGATTGGGAGAATGTCATGTGGTCAGATGAAACCAAAGTACAACTGTTTGGAATAAACTCAACTTGTCGTGTTTGGAGGAAGAAGACTGAGTTGCATCCCAAGAACACCATACCTACTGTGAAGCATGGGGGTGGAAACGTCATGCTTTGGGGCTGTTTTTCTGCTAAGGGGACAGGACGACTGATCCGTGTTAAGGAAAGAATGAATGGGGCCATGTATCGTGAGATTTTGAGCCAAAAACACCGTCCATTGAGTTGAATTTTTGTTATTGACCAATTTTCCACCATAATTTACAAATAAATTCTTTAAAAATCCTACAATGTGAATTCCTGGATTTTGTTTTCACATTCTGTCTCTCACAGTTGAAGTGAACCTATGATGAAAATTACAGACCTCTGTCTTTATTTTAAGTGGGAGAACTTGTACAATCGGTGGCTGACTAAATACTTTTTTGCCCCGCTGTGCGCGCGCACACACACACACACACACACACACACACACACACACACACACACACACACACACACACACACACACACACACACACACACTGACACCACTTTTCCTCATTAATATTTAAAACACTTGTTGTCGATAAGCGATTGTGTTGCTCCTTAATCTGTCCTCCCTCACGGCTCTGTCAGCTCCATCCTCTTCAAACGACAAGAGGCAAATTGTCCCTAATCGCCCTCCGTAGACACATCCAACATTGATCAAAACCAGGCTGGCTCTCACCTTCTCCCCCCTCCCTCCCCCTCACTCCCCCTCCCTCCCTCCCCCTCACTCCCCCCCTCACTCCCCCTCCCTCCCCTCCCTCCCCCTCACTCCCCCTCCCTCCCCCCTCACTCCCCCTCACTCCCCCTCCCTCCCCCTCCCCCTCCTCCCTCCCCCCCCTCCCTCCCCCTCCCTCCCTCCCCTCCCTCCCCCTCCCTCCCCCTCCCTCCCCCCCTGCCTTCACCCTGGCCCCAAAGAAGCTGATAATTAATACTCAAATCCCAGTCACCGTTGAGCATGACGGATCGGTAACATCTTTGACTGAAACCAGTGCGACGCCGAGCGATAGGGGCCCCCAGTGTATTCCAGCGTTGGCGCTCGCACCCCGGCTAGCATCCTGGCTAGCATCCCGGCTAGCATCCCGGCTAGCATCCCGGCTAGCATCCCGGCTAGCATCCCGGCTAGCATCCCGGCTCGCTAATTAAATATCCACAGGTTAGCGGGCGCTTCTCCAGCCGGGAGCCCTCGGTCTTCTCACTATCGGCACGTGGTTAATAATTAATGGTGCTACATTGACGAGGGTGAGCACGGCGCAGAGAACGTGCGGTGGATGTATTTGCGTTTGTTTAGAGCTGTTTCAGTCACAAGCTCAAAAGAAGTGTTTTAAAAGCACTTTTGATTAAAATCATAAATAGCAAATGTGTTGTTTTTAATTGTGTGGTTTTATTTTCTACGTTTTTAAATATTTCTTGTGTTTGTTTATGTAGATGGGATTTGGGCTGTGAGGTGAAATGCGCTCTACAAATAAATGTGTCCATAAACTACTACTGTAGCCACAGCTGCCCTGGGGCACATTGACCAAAGCAAGGCAACCAGTCTGTGCCATCGGCCCCTCCCACCACCAGCTATTCACACACACACACACACACATCTATGGTGTCGTGTAAAAAGCCTGCTCCTGAAAGATTTCTGAAGCTAAGCAGGTCAGGGCCTGGTTAGTATTGTGAAGAGAGACCTGGGAAGTCAAAACTATCCTTGTGTCCATTGGCAAGACACTTAACTAGTGTGAGTTTGGTGTGTGAATGAGTGGCTGCCATCAGTCTGCTCCAGGGCAGCTGTGGCTTCAGGAGAGTTGTATGGAGTTATTTTAATAATGAAGTGTCTTTGGGTTTCATGGAAAGTTACTGTATATACTCTGTGTTGAATTTAAATTAGCACATAATTATCTGCAAATTGTTTGTCACAAATAATATAAGTTTAAAGCCAGATTATCACTTTAATGTTTCATGTCTTTTCTCAATCTTTAAATCTACAACATTCTCAGATGTGATAGTTATCGTACTTTTGCATATCTTTAAAACAGAATTCAATACATTGCATTAGAATGATATATATGTCAATAACGAGCTCTAAATTAAACGTATCACAATCCTCCCGTGTCTGAGAAATGCCAGATGTGATATACACGAAGGAGGCTGTGCGATGCCACAGATTTAACACCGAAGGACTTCTCGTGATCAGACGTTAAATACTTGGCAACATTGAAGTTTCCTCAAACTGTCGGCGGCGGATCACACGATGACAGATCGGATGCATGTGCAGCTAACACTGCCGTGATAATTACTCCTCTGTGCTTCTGTCAATAACAAAAGTGCTCATGAGGCAAAGGGCCTTTCAGCAGCTGAAGTAACCAATAACAATGTGTTAGCATTTACAGACAGAGGTCGTCCGCTCTGGACCAACGGCTCTGACGGGTTTGTTTTATATGTTTGTCCATAGATGTCAGACATGTGGGCGGGCCGACATTGGCTCAGGTGTAGAGCATTGGCCTTTGAGCCTGAAGGTTGTGGGTTCGA